TGGCATCACAGCTCACAGCAACCTCCAACTCCTGGGCTCAAGCGAGTCTCCTGCCTCAGCCTCCCAAGTAGCTGGGACCACAGGCACCTGCTACAATGCCCGGCTATTTTTTGGTTGCAGCCGTCATTGTTGTTTTGACGGGCCAGGCTGGATTCGACCCGCCACCTTAGGTGTACGTGGCTGGCACCTTAGCCACTTGAGCTGAGCCATAGGTGCCAAGCCAAGTATTTTATTCTTGATCTGCCCATTTACTTTGAATTTTAGGTACCTTTATATTTAAAGTGGGTTTCTTGTAGGGAGCATATTGAGTTGGTCTTGTTTTTTTTTTTTTTTTTTTTTGTAGAGACAGAGTCTAACTTTATCACCCTTGGTAGGGTGCCGTGGTGTTGTCACACAGCTCACAGCAACCTCCAGCTCCTGGGCTTAGGTGATTATCTTATCTTGCCCCAGCCTCCTGAGTAGCTGGGACTACAGGTGCCCACCACAAAGCCTGGCTATTTTTTGGTTGCAGTTTAGCTGGACCCGGGCTCAAACCTTCCACCCCTCAGTATATGGGGCTTGCACCCTACCCACTGAGCCACAAATGCTTCCCTGGTCTTGTTTTTTGATCCACTCTGATGCTCTGCCTTTAGTTGGTACGTTTAGACCAGGGGTCCTCAAACTTTTTAAACAGGGGGCCAATTCACTGTCCCTCAGTTCGTTGGAGGGCCAGACTGCGGGCCCGGGACGAGCTGGCTGCTAAGCAGGACAGACAGCAAGGGCAAAAACACCCATCAGGCCAGATAAATGTCCTAGGTGGGCTACATGTGGCCCGCGGGCTGTAGTTTGAGGATGCCTGATTTAGACCATTAATATTCAAAGTGGTGAGGCAGTGCCTATAGCTTAGTGGGTAGGGCGCTGGTCCCATATACCTAGGGTGGCGGGTTCAAACCTGGCCCCAGCCAAATTGCAACAACAACAACAAAATAGCCAGGTGTTGTGGCAGGTGCCTGTAGTCCCAGCTACTTGGGAGGCTAAAGCTAGAGAAATTGCCTACGCCCAGGAGTTGGAAGTTGCTATGAGCTGTGATGTCACAGACTCTGTCTCTATTTAAAAAACAAAACAGAACCTCTGTGTGTGTGTATATATATATATATATATATATATATATATATTCAAAGTGATTACCAATGTAATTGGATTAATACCTACCATATTTGTTACTGTTTTCTGTTCGTTGCCCACATTTTTTTCCCCCTGTATTTCTTTCACTCTTCTGCTTTCTGTAGTTTTAATTTAACATTTCACATTTTTTCCGCTGTCTTGTATTATTATCTCATGCTTCTGTTTTTACTTTTTCATTGGTTAACCTGGACTTTGCAGTATACATTCACATCTAGCCCAAGTTCATTTTCTTTTTTTTTTCCATATAAAAACTGATTTTTAATAACTTTATCTTTGGTGTTTACTTCTATTTTTTTTTTTTTTTTATTGAATGGTAACTATGTACATTAATGCACTTCTCGGGTACAGTGTGGGGTTGTCACACACAATCTGAAATACTTCCATCAAACAGGTTAACATAGCCTTCATGTCATTTTCTTATTGTTCTAAAATGTTCACATTCTACTGTTAGAAAGATTCACTTGTACCCTTGTAAGATAAACCTCAGAAGTGATCCCTCCAATCCCCTCCCTCCACCCATTCCCCCTTCCTCTCTCCCTCCCCCCTCCCCGTATTCTTAGGCTGTTATTAGGTTATAGCTTTCATATAAAAGGTATAAATTAGTTTCATAATAGGGGTGTGTACATT